TGAGGCCTTCCCCATTCCCCACCTACCCACCCCTGTCACTGCCAGCTCCCTTTGGAAAGCACTTGTATTTACTTGTAAGTATTTGCTGATCTGCCTACCTGGGGTATCCCCCGTAGAATGTAAGCTCCCTGAGGGCAGGGGCTGGGTCACTTTTGTCCTTGTATTCCTAACACCTAACTCAGTGCCCAGCACATTGTTGTTGTTCGGTCATATTTGACTAAGGGTTTTCTTGGCAAAGATACCGGAATGGTTTGCCATCTCCTTTGCCAGTAGATTAGGCAAAGAGAGGTGAAGTGACTTGCCCATTGTCACACAGTTAGTAAGTATCTGGGATTAGACTTGAACTCAGGTCTTCCCGACTCCAGGCCCAGTGTTCTATCTACCTCACTGCCTCACCTGACAGAAGGAGGTAAAGTAAACAGTTTGGTGCCCAAAGTGGCATACCCACTTACTGGCTGTGTGGCCCTCAACAAGCCACTTAACCTCAATGACTTTTAAGGAATCTCTTCCAGTTCTAAATTTGATTCCCTTCCAAACTGGAGGAGTGCTGGGATCCAGGACCCTCCAACCTCCCCAGTGGAAACCGGCAGGAAAGGAAGCCATTGGTGGAAGGAGCTCAGCCCGGAGTAATCTCACCCAGCTTCTGACATCTGCCAGAAACTAGCAGGTTCCTCGGTTCTCTGGTCGTCAATTGGAGTTAGAAGAGACCCATCCTGTCACAGAAGCCTGTGATTACCGAGTCTTAGGAGTCAGCTGGTCCAAGCCTTTCCATTTCCAACAGTGGAAGTGACTTGCCCAGGATCACAACTAGTAAGTGGTGAAGTCAGGATTTGAACCCAGGTCTTCCTGACCCCAGATCAGGCTTGCCCTATCCACTAAGCCAAGCTTCAGACCATCAGAGCCATCGAGTTCAACCCTCCCATTTTACAGATGAGAAAACTGAAGCCCAGAGAGGTAGTGACCTGCTGAATAAGGCAGTGTCAGGATTTGAATCCGGGTCCTCTGACTCTCGACTCCGCACCCCTTCTACAGCCCCCCCCCCATAGCTTCTCAGATTGTCTGTGTTGGGGCAGTGGACACAGGTCAAGGCTTGAGCAAACAAGAGGTGTGAAGCGGGTGGGGAGGCAAGGGAGAAGCAGAGAACTGGAGGAAGGAGCAGAAAAAGGTCCCTTTGAGCCCCAGGGACTGAAGAGCAAGCAGGGCTGCTTGGAGAGTGTGGCTAGGGCAGCCAGAGCCTGGACATCAGGGTCAGGGATGGGTCTCCTTTGCATGGGAAGAACCACAAGGAAATCGTCCCTTGTTATCGTATTACTGTTCTTACTAACGCTCCTCTAGTTCCCAATGTCTAAGGCCAATGCCTCCTGTTACGTCTCCAGCCTGTTCTAATGCTTTGCAAGAGAATCCTTGCGGAGGCCTAGCCTCGATCCCTCCTGTTGCAACCCCAGCCTCCTTCCTCTAGTTCCCAAGCAACTGGGGCCAGCAAAGACGAAGAACATCTGCTCCCGGCTCCCAGCTCCTCCCTGCTCCCAGGGATCCCACAATGGGAGGGGGCAGGGCAGAGGCAGACAAGGCTCCCCCAAGCTCAAAGGCATGGTGATCCCGATTCCTATGAGCAGACACCCACTGACCACATCCTCTCCACTCTCCACCTCCCCCCCTAACGCTGGCTCCTCTCTGCCCACAGATTTCTCCCCCAATCCGTCTGCCCCCCGCATTAGCTCGCGTTACTGTAGCTAGTTCCCCCAACGTGCCACATCCTCAGCCCTCAGACACCTTCCTGGCAGGGGCAGAAGTATAGGGGTCTTCCCAATCCTCCCCACTAGCTGAACAAGCCCCCAAGGGGCGCCGCTTCCAGGGCTCAGACCACAACTCCTCCCCTGTAGCCACTGGGTAAGCTTTACTCATTCCTTGGTGGGTGTGGCAAGGACCCCTCCTCCCCCCACCACCATTGCAAGACAGACCATAGACAGTGAATGATGTCTCCAGAGGGGACTCCCAGATCCTCTGACTAACTCTTTCCCTGCTAAGTGTTGGGGCTTACAGACCCCTCTCCCCATCCTGATTGAGGAAAAGAGAATCAGAGAAGGAGGGCATGTCACACAGCAAAGTTGGCTCAAGAATCTAGACTCCAACTCAGGAGAAGTGGGCTACAGTATACATGGGGGCGGGAAGAATATGGTGTGGGTAGAATATGAGGTTAAGGACACACACCAGTCTGGAATCTAAATCTAGCACGATTCTCCAAGTGCCCAGGACGAACTCTGTGCATCTTAGTAGGGAGAGAGGTACCCCAAGGGCCCTCCCCCAAGGCTGCTCTCAGAAACAGGTAGTGCCAGGTCAGGCAGGCATGCCTGAGCAGGGAGGAGACTAGAGCAAAGGTGTGTGGGGGGGGGAGAAAGCTTCTCAGTTTCCCATTCCGTAGCACTAGAGCCACGGAGACAGACCACAGTGATAGGAACCCCATAAATCCCAAAGCTCCTAGGATGGGGATGGAGGCTGATGACAGCAGAAGAAATAAGGATGGGGTGGGGAAAAATTTGCTGCTAAACCTGAATTCTGATTAGCCTCAGGTTTGCAAACCCTCTGAGAAATGGGAAGAGCTGAGTAGTAAAGAAAGGCAATCCCTAAAATTCAGCACCATCTCCTGGTCCTTTCTCCTCTAGCCTTCGGACAGGACCAGCAGTGAGACCCCACCTCAGCGACCAAGACCAGTCCCCACCCTACGGCCAGGATGGGGGTGGGAGGGGTCAGGAAGGGGTGGTCCAGCTCTGGGGACATTCCAGAGGAATCCCTCTTCCCTCCCCCTCCAGAGAAACAGGCAGACAGGACAGGAGGGAGTGCTGCAAACCACCCAGACCAAGCAGGAACGATTCCCAGAAAGGGAAGGAAGACAAGGTGAAAGGTGTTCTCATCCCCACTGACTAGAAGCGGATTTTTCTTCCTGAGAAACCAAGACTCCTCCTCCCCATAATCCTTCTCCTGCACTGATGCTCACACTTTCTCCACTCATCCCCCATCTTTACCCATAGCTCTCTCCACCTTCCAAACCTTTAAAGACTGACTACTCCTAGTCACCTAGTACTGCCTCCCCCACATGCACCTTGACCCCAACCCCCCACCTTTGCCCTCCTCCACTGTCCAGTCTGGGAGATATCCTCAGTTCTGCTCCACTAGTTTCTTCTGCCTTTAATTTCTTTTCGGGCCCCTGAATGCTCGGGTCCCCAGGACAGTCATGGGAAGAAGAGAGAGCAGGAGGGAGGGAGGTAGGAAAGGAGGAAGGGAGGGCCTAAGCTAAGGAAGGGGCTGCTGTCTTTGTCTCCTGGACCAGTTATGGAAAGCGTATGGAGTCACAGGCCTGAGTCCTTTCAGAGAAACAGGGCACATAGACCCACTCATCCCCATCCATACATGTTTATACAAACACAAGTTCGTATGAATGTGCATATGCATGCGAACATACATGCATGTGTGTAGATATACATGCATGCACATGACTATACATGCCTTGCACACACATGCACGTTGTGGTACCAAGTGTCTGTGCACAGGTGCGCATGTATGCACACGTGTGTGCAAAGTACACACACCAGCAGTGCTGCTGGGTGAGGTCCTGCCTTGGCAGCTTGGTGAGGTCTTTGGCCAGCTTTCCTGCCTGGTCCCTCAGCTGCCTCTGAGGCTGGGGGCACTTCTTCAGCATTTCCCTATTGAGTAGACATTTCCTAGTAGAGCTCGAACCAACAGGGAAATCGGGGGCACTGCCCATCCTGCCAGGCAGCCTCAGGGGCACACAAATAGACCAAGTGTGGAGGATGGGCAGACAGGGAGCCAGGGGTGGAGAGACGGACAATCGACAGTTACGTCCAGGGAGGCAGCCAGAGCCCAGTGAACAGGGGACCTCAAACCTTCTGTCCCTTTCTCTGTGGGACAATTGTTATCTGGAAAGGTCCCTTTGTTCCGTTGGGAAGGGCTGTGGGACTGGGGTTGCAAGGATTGAACAGGGGGAGTCTATTAGGGGAGCCTGAAACTGAAATAGAAGCCCCTTCTCTGCCACCCGACTTGGCCTTTCCAACGACCTTCCAAAGGGACTGAGACCCTGGATGCAGGGGGTGGGGGAGGGGAGGGGCTGTCAGTATAAAGCCTCCTGCTCACATAAAGACCCTCCCTCTGCTCTCTTGCTTTCCTTTTCTTCCAGCAAAGATAGGGGGTTCTCTCATGGGGGCATCTTCCAGAGGAACAGACCCAGGCCCTCAAACCTATGTCTGTTTTGGGGGCCTGGGGTGCCCCCTAAGGCATGCCCTGCAACTAGCCCCTTGCCCCTCCAGAGAGCTCAGAGGAAACCCAAACCACGCCGGGACCAGAAGAGCACTCAGGGCCTGGAAGGAGCTGCGGGCCCTGGAGAGAGGGGGGTGGTTAGGAAGACGGGGGCCAAAAGCTCCAGAGTCTGTCAGTGACACGCCCCACGTGGAACCTGGACAGGAAGGGGAGGGAGGCTGGTTGTGGGAGCTCCAGGCAGTGTGCGCCTTTGTGTGTGTGTGTGTGTGTGTGTGTGTGTGTGTGTGTGTGTGTGCCTCCGTCTGCCTCCATCTCCGGGTGTGTGGGTCTCTTGTCTCTCTTTATGTCTCTGTCTCTCTCTGTCTGTGCTTCGGAGGCGAGGCAGTTCTCTCTCTCTCTCTCTCTCTCTCTCTCTCTCTCTCTCTCTGGGCGTGTCTCTCTCTCTCTAGGTCTTTGCACCTCTGGTTCTCTCTCCCGGAGTGTGTATCTCTGTCTCTGGGTTTGGGTTCCTGCCTTCGTCTTCTCTGGACCTGTCTCTCTCTGGGTGGGTGTCCCCTCTGCCTCTCTGTCTCTGGGTGTGTCTCGGTCCCTCCTGCCTTTGCCCGCGTCTTCCTCGGTCTCTGCCCGTGTCTCCCGGTCCCTGCCTCGCTCCGTCTCTAGGGGCGCGCGGAGTCCCGATGTCCCAGGGCTCCCCGATCGCGGCCGGCCCCGGGTCCGAGGAGTCTCACCTGAATCGGGGCGAATCCTTAATACACTCCTCGAACTCCACCGTCATTTCTGCGGCTCCGCCCGCGGCCCGGGCTCTCAGAGGGGAAGCGCCCGTGCCATGGCCACCCCTGCCCGCCCCGGCCGGGCTGCGCTGCGCTCCGCCTGCTCCCGTCGGCTCCACTCGTTAGCCAGCCAGCCCGCTCGGGCTGGGGAATGAGGCCGCTGCAGCGCCCGCCCCGGCCCGCCCAGCCGGGCCTGTCACCGCGCAGGGAGCGTCGCCAAAGTCCTGCCGCCGCCGCCGCCGCCGCCGCGCCCCCTTCACCCGTAAGCCCCTCCCCGGGCACCGGCTTGTCATTTACATCTGCCTGGCCTTTGTCCGGCGCCTCTGGCTCCTCCCCCTCTCGGAGGCAGCACCCCCCCCCCCCCCCGATCACTGGGTCTTCCATATAGAGCTGGGAGGGAACCTGTGAGGGTCCTCTAGGGAGACTCTCGCCTTTTACTGGGGAGGAAACTGAGGTCCCCAGGGGTAACGTGACTAGCCTAAGGTCAACCAGTCAGTAAATAGCAGAGTCAGGGCCCACACGCGGGTCTTTCTCTGACCCCCTCACTTTGATGCACCCCAGTGCCGCTGCCCCTTTAACGAAAAGGGATCCCCAAGGTTATGGGCTCCCAAGATGACCCCTGCTCATTGCCTTAACGTTCTCCCGGCTTTCTTCAACTGTGAGGGATGCCTCTGAAATCTCCAACCCTTGGAACCTAGATGGACTAGGCAACCTCTGGGTGGGGCCGAGGTTCTGAGGTTTAGCACCTGTCTCTATTCATAAGAATTGACTAATTGATCTCCAGCCTCCACAATCATCCCTAGTGCCAGAAGGAGGGATCCTTAGACCTAGAATTGGAAGGTCACCTAGTCAGTCAATTAGCATTAAACGCCTACTATATTCCAGGCACTGTGGTGAGCACTGGTCAGTCATAGGATCATAGATTTAAAATTGGAAGTGACCTTTAAGGCCATTTGACCCAACCCCTTCATTTTACAGATGAGGAAACTGAGGCCCAGAAAGGTTAGGGGACTCACCTGAGGTCACATGACTGGTAAAGCTCAGAGGCAGGTTTTGAATCCAGATCTTTTCCCCTAAATCCTGGGCTCCTTCCAGGGTATCTCACTGTTACACAGTACCTCCCACTGCCTGTCAAATATCACTGCCTGAGCACTTAGACACCTAGAACTCCACATGTACAGAAAGGAACTCCTTCCACCCCCCCCAAAAAAAAAGCCCTCTGCACCCCCTCCCAACTCACCTATTTCAATTGATGACTCTCCCAGAAACTGGACAGAAATCTCAGAGTCATCCACACCAGGAGAGACAGAGTGTTATAGTGGGTGGATAAAGTTCAGGGTCTAGAATCAGGAAGACCTGAGTTCAAATCCAGCCTGTTATGTTTGTTTGTTTGGGCAATGGGGGTTAAGTGACTTGCCCAGGGTCACACAGCTAGTGAGTGTTATGTGTCTGAGGCCGCATTTGAACTCAGGTCCTCCTGAATCCAGGTCCAGTGCTCTATCCACTAAGCCACCTCGCTGCCCCCGAGCCTAATGATATTGCTAGCTTACCCTAGGCAAGTCACTTAACCTCTCTGAGCCTCAGTTTCCCCTTCTGTAAAATGGAGTTTAATTCTGACCTCTTAGCTCTAAATTCATTTTCCTATGATCCTGAACACTCTCCCGTTGCCTGAACCCCCACATCGAAGGAGTTTCGAGATTCTGCCTATCTCCAGGATATCTCTGACATTTCTCTCCCTTTCACACACGTAGCCACCCCTTAGGTCAGGCCCTCAGCCCTTCTCTCCTGGCTTACTACATTAGGGACTCCTTGCCTCTAGACTCACACTGATGCCAAAATAATGTTCCAAGGGACTTTACCACTTGCTGTTGCATGACCTTGATCACATTTCCCTTCTCTGGGACTCAGTTTCTTCCTCTGTAAAAGCAGGGGCTTTGGTTTGATGACCTCAGAAGCTCTCTCCAGCTCTAAGTCAGGGTTTATCTAATCAGGTAATTCCCCTTCTCACAATCCTTCCTAAGGATAAAAATAAGCTCTTTGAGGAGCAGCTAGGTGGTGCAGTGAATAGAGCTCTGGCCTTGGCATCAAGAGGACTTGAGTTCAAATCCAGCCTCAGACACTTAACACTTACTAGCTGTGTGACCCTAGGCAAGTCGCTTAACCCCAATCGCCTCACTAAAAAGCAAAATAACAAAACAAAACCACAATGAGCTCTTTGCCTTGACACTGAAGGCCACTCACAGTTTGCCTCAAACCTACCTTCCCAGCCCCATTTCCCATCCCTCCCTCCCCTATCACATACTCCCCAGTCCAACCAGCTACTTCTTGCTCTGCCTCTGCCTGTTCCTCCGTCCCAGAATTCAAATGAGCCCCTTGCCTGGAATGGCATCTCTGCCTCAACATTCTTCTCCTCCTTCAAAGCCTAGATCATGCCCCATCTTCTTTAAGGAGCCTACCAGGACCCTTCCAACAGAAAGCACTCTTCTCTGTGTCAAATTTTTCATGCTCTGTCCCTAGCCTCGCTCTGTCCCTAACCCCATTTGGCCTCAGAGAGACCATGAAGACATGGTGGACAGAAAGCTAGCCTTGGACTCAGGAAGACAAAAACTCAAATCCTGCCACTTTTACTTCTCAGCTGTGTGACCCCAGAAGAGTGACTTCGCCACTCTGTGCCCTGAATGACTTCCTGTGATCTATTATCTAAGAGGAAACTCATTTGACAGTTGAGGAAACTGAGGCACACAGGGTGAAGTGATTTGCCCAGGGTCACACAGCTAGAAAGTGTCTTTGGCTGGATTTGCACTCAGGAAAAATCTTCCTGATTCCAAGTCCAGTGCCCTCTCCACTGTGCCACCTAGCTGCTCATAGGTTGCCCTGTTCAAGGACTCCTATCTTAGTATGGCTCCCTAGAAAGCAGTTAGTTTCTCCAAGGCGGGGACGGGTCTACTGGCTAGCACACTGGAGTTGAAGTCAGGAAGACCTGAGTTCGAATCTCACTTCCAACACTTACCACCTGTGTAACCCCAGGCAAACTACTTCCCCCCCTGGGTTCCAGCTCCTTTATCCATAAATGAAAGAGTTGAATTCGATGACTTCTAAGGGCCTTTCCAGCTCCCAATGAATGATCCGTATGAGTCACTTCAATTCGGTGAGTGTCTATTAACACTTAGTATGCGCAGGGCCCCATGCTGGTATCCCAGCTATGAATGAATGAATGGAAAAGCACTTTATTAGGCTCTTACTATGTGCCCAGCACTGTGCTGAGCCCTGGGGATAAATATACATGGAAGACAGTGCCTGGCCTCTGAGTACAATGCTCCACACAGCTTGCACAATGAATGTTGAATTAAATAGAATTCAGAGGGTGAAAGGAGGGGGCTTGGGGGGCTGAGGTTTATTCAGGGCTCTGATAAAGGCAGCATGGTGAAGTGGATAGAACATGGGAGTTGGCATTGGGAAGCCCTGGGTTCAGCTCCCACCTCAGAAACCTCCTATGATTCTGGACAAACCACTTTGGTCCTCTGAGCCTCAGTTTTCTCACCTGAAAAATGGGGGTGATAATAACACCTACTTCACAGGGGTGTGGTAAGGCTCTACTGAATGTCCAATGCTTCACAAGCCTTAAAGCACTATAGAAATGTAAGCCTTTATTGCCCATTCAGTCAACATTCATTACCCACCTTCTGTGGGGGGGCGGCGGCACCGTGCTGAGCTCTAGGGGAGATGCTGCACTCATAGAAGGATAATAATAATAGTGTCTATAGAGCACTTATTAGAGATATTGCCTTGTTTGGTCCTCACACCTACCTGGGAGGTAGGTGCTGTTATTATCCCCATTCTATGGATGGGGAAACTGAGGCAAACAGAGGGGAAGTGACTGGCCCAGGGTCACACAGCCACTGAGGAACTCCATGACCCCAAGACCAGCACTCTATGCACTTCAGAGACATCCAGCTAGCCACAATAACCAAAGTTTAGTGGCAATCACCTCAGAGAGGAACATCTCTCAGGGCCCCAGGCAGTTAGCTCTCCAAGGCTATATGACTAGCAGAACCCTTAGAAGAGGAACCAGAGTTCCTCCCCTGACCTGTCCTATGAAATCACAGGTCTGGTTAAATACACTGAGAAATAAGCATATCAGAGAGGTGCAAAACCAAGTGTTCTGCCGAGGCCAAAGGAAGATCCTTCCCAAAGGGGGAGGGGCTCAGGGAAGGCTTCTGGGGGCAATGGGCAGGGTGGAGGTTCAGAAAGGAAACCTGGGCAGCTTTAAAGGATCATGGATTTAAAACTGGAAGGGACCTCTCTGCTCAGTTGGGAACCACTATCTCTGACCCCATTTGGGGTTTTCTTGTCAAAGATATTGGAGCAGTTTGCCATTTCCTTCTCCCACTCATTTGACAGATGAAGAAACTGAGGCAAACAGGGTGAAGTGACTTGCCCAGGGTCACATAGCTACTAAAAGTCTGAGGCCAGATTTGAACTCAGGAAGATGAGCCTTCCTGACATCAGACCGGGCACCACCTAAGCAGCCCTCAGAAATCATTGAATCCAACCCCTGCTCACCCTGACCCCCCCAACCATTTTGCTGGCAAAGAAATTGAGGCCCACTGAGGCTAACGAATAGAAGTTCTGCAAGGAAAGGGAGAAAAGTCGTGGAGGTCCAGGATGGGAGGCTTGCCTAGAGATCATGGGACCTTAGAGAGCCCAATTCCCCTCCCCCATTTTGCAGATGAGAAAACTGAGAAACAGAGTTGTGACTTGCCCAGGGTCACACAACTAGTAAGTGTCTGAGTCTGGAGTTGAACCCAGGTCCTTTTGACTCCATGTTTAGTGCTGTTGTCACGAAACCACACTGTCTCATGGTGCCACTGGATCTTTGAGCTCCACAGGAATCAACATGTGACTCGGCTGCCCCCCACCCCCACCCCGCACAGAGCAAGCTAGGGAGAGTTCAGTCTGTGGGACAGTGTAGTGCCTTCACCCTGGTCACAGTTCTTCGAGACACATTACAGTGTCCATTCAGGGGAAGGCAAACAGGACCGGGAAGCACCTTGACTCCATGCAAGAACCTTAAAGGAAATAGGGGTGTTTGGAGAGGGGAGGAGAGGAGAGAGGGCGGTAGAGAGAGGAAAAGAAGGAGAGATGGAGGGGGAAGAGAGAGAGGGAGAGAGAAGAGGAGGGGGAAGAAGAGAGGAGGAGAGGAAGGGAAGAGAGGAGAGGAAACAGAGAGATGAAAGGAAAGAAAGATGGAGGGAGAGAGAGAGGAAGAGAGAAGAGGAAAAGAGGGGGGAGAGGAAAGGAGAGAAGGTAGGGGAGAAGAGGGGAGGGGAAGGGAGAGAAGAGAGAGGAAAGGAGGGAGAGATGGAGGGAGAGAGAAGCAAAAAGGACAGAAGGGGAAGGGAGGGGAGGAGAAAAGGAGTGGGGGAGGACCAGACTTGGTGTCTGTCTTCAAACAGTAGATGGGTTGTTATTTGGACGAGAGATTACCCTGCTTGGAATAATGGGTGGAAGGTTCAGGGAGAAACTTTAGGTTCATGTCGGATCGGGCTGCCTGGGCTGACAGCGAACTCTCCATTGCTGGAGCTCGTCCAGCCCAGGTTGGTTGGTCGATTGCTAGCTTGTGGGGAATCCTGTCCGAGAGAGGTCCTCGGTCAGGTCTGGGTTGGGACACCCAACCTCTGAGGGACCTTCCCTCTGAGGGATTCGGAAGGCTGGAGAGCGAGGCTGGGTTTGGGAGGGCAGGGTGGAGTTTGGCAGGAGAGGTGAATGGAGCGGGAAGGGAGCAGCGGGGAAACGAGCCAGTCAGCGTTCTCCAGTCTGTGGAACGAAGCCAGAGCAGTAACTTGACTTCCGGATTGTTCTCTTTTTAGGTCTCTCTGCTCAGAGGTGTCCTGTTAAAGGTATGAGAGAGAGAGAGAGAGAGAGAGAGAGAGAGAGAGAGAGAAGAGAGAGAGAGAGAGAGAGAGAGAGTGTGTGTGTGTGTGTGTGAGTGAGAGAGAGAGAGAGAGAGAGAGAGAGAGAGAGAGAGAGAGAGAGAGAAAGAGAGAGACAGAGACAGAGAGACAGAGAGAGACAGAGACAGAGAGACAGACAGTAATACAGAGAGAAACAGACAGTATGATAGAAACAGTCGGAGACAGAGATAGAAAAATAAAACTGGGGGGGGAACTGGACCCATTCAAAAACAGGCCCCCACCCCCAGACTCCAGGGTGGGGATATAAGTGAAAGCGTGGGCTCAGAGAAGACGCGGACCCCAGGGCATCCCGGCGAGGACTCGAGACCCCGAAGGGCCGCGTCTCCACCAATCTCGGGAGCGGAGAATGCCAGACCGTCTTTGGTCCGGGCAGCCCAAGTCCATCAATGCCATCCTTTGGCCTTCGCACGGTCTCTGGGTCCAGGGTAAAGCGGGAGCGCTGCCTGGAAGATCCTGAGGCTGCTCTCTCGGCTGGGGGAGATTCGGCCCCTCGCCACCCTCCCTCTGTGCGTCCCGGGACTCGCATACCACTTGCTCCCCGTTCCCTAAGCAGAGGCTCCGCCCCTGGGGGCCCCGCCCCCTCCGCTCCCATTTCACCCCCTTCCCCCGGCCCTCCCTCCTGTCCAATCGCGCGCGGTGGCCTTGGAGTCCGAGCCGGGCCGGCGCGCGCGCTGCGGGAGGGCGGGGTCCGCTTGGCCGGGGGCGGGCACGCGCGGCGCGGCCGACCCGCCCCCCCTTGCAGCCCGCCCTCTCCCACGCGGCCATGGACTCGCCCCGCGCGCGCTACCTCGTGTTCTTCCAATACGTGGGGACCGCCTTTAGGTATGTAGGGGCGGAGACTGGGGCCCCGGGACCCCAAAGGGGGAGGGGATCGGGCCCCACCCCCTGTCCGTGGGGCCCCCCTCCCCCACCCGTGTCCCTAGATTGCCCTGGCGTCCACGTGGGACGCTGGGGGCTGCAGCAGGAAGGAGTGGAGTGAGTCCAGTGAAGAATCGGAAGGCAGCCCCGGCGTGGGGGTGGGTGCTTGCTTACAGCCCGCCTCTGCCACCGCCCCAGGGAAGACCTCGCACAGACGTTGGAGTCAGTGATCTCCAAGCACCTTCCGGTCTTGGAGCCGAGTTCCATGACTTGGCGGTTCCCAGCTTAGGCAACCCACGAGTCAGCGAGCAATTATTAAGCGCCTCCTCTGTGGCACGCACTGTGGCCCGCCGTGGCCACCGAGGATGGGGACTTACCCGGTCCCCAGCCCCCACCCACCTCCAGCTTCCTCTCCCGCAGCAGAGGAAGGATGTGGCCACAGACAGTAACTAGGTTTGGCGCGGGGGGGGGGGGGGGGGGGGGGGCGGGCAGGGTAGGATGGAAGGTTGGTACCCGAGCTAAGTTTAGGATGGCCATTTAAAGAAGGCACCCAGGCTCGGAGACGTTTTCAGGAAACTGGGTTTCTAAACATTTCTGCCTGATGGGGAAACAGCTTTGTTTAGACTCACTGCCTGTATACTATTCTAGGGGTGGAGGGAGAAGGAGGAGGGTCAGAGGGGCCCGGGTTGGCACTGACTGACACTTTGACCTAGCTCCCCTGGAGAGTAGGGATTCAGTTCAATTTAAACATTAATTAGGATCTGCCAATCTAGTGGGGATTCAGAGATTTAAAAACAAAAAACGCTGTGCCCACAGGGAGCTTATATTTTACTGGGGGGAGGGAAACAAAGGGAAGTAAAGAAAACATCCATCATGGCTGGGTGGAGACCTCCGGTGTCATCCAGCCTAACCCCTTGGTTTTACAGATAGGAAACTTGAGGCCCAGGAAGGTTGTGACTTGCCTAAGGTCAGGCCTGGGTTGTCAATAGCTGTCCAGGGCAGGATTAGAACTCTTGTCCTCTGATGACATCTGGTCCGGTCCTCTTAAGCACTGTAAGACTTCGTAGAAACACCCTAAAGTAATTTTAGGAGGGAAATTAAAACTCAAAACCGAGTTGGGGTTGGAGAGGCCTCGTGGAGCTGTGATTTCAAGAATTTAATTCAACAGACATTTGTTGTCTAGTCAGGCAGTAAACAGTAAATGGTTACTATGTGTCAGACACGGAGCAAAAGACAGCCCCTGCCCTCAAGGAGCTCCCGATTAAAAATAATAAAAACAAGAATAATCATACATATTTATTTCATTAAATGTTTCCCAATTAAATGTAAAAAAATTGAACATTCATTTTTTTTTATTTTGAGGTCCAAATTCTTGCCCTCCTTCTGCCCAACCTCCACTCCTTAAGATGGCAAGCAGTATGATATTGATTATACGTGTGAAATCATGCAAAACATATTTCCGTAGTAGTCATGTTAAAAAGAAAAATAAGAAAAATAAAGAAAGTGAGGCAATTCTGCTTCAGTCTGTGCTCAGAGTTCCATTGTTCATCATGGGAAGGAACTCACAGTCTTAAGACAAAAACAGTCCCTCCCCTCAAGAAGCTTCTGTTCTCCTTGCTAGCAGTATGACCCTGAGCAAGTCACTTAACCCCAGTTATCTCCAAAAATAAAAAATAAATTTTAAAAAAGCTTTTATTCTTTTGAGAAAAGTGATACGTATGTTGTTGTTAGCACAACTAGTACTGTCCATGGAATTTTCTTGGAAAAGATACTGGAGAGGTATGTGGTTTCCTTCTCTGGTATATAGCAGGAGCTTAATAAATGTTTGCTTGTAGCTCCTTGTGACCCCATAGGTCATAGCATGCCAGTACTGACCGTGGGGTTTACTTGGCAAAGATACTGGAGAAGTTTTCCATTTCCTTCTCTAGTACACAGTGGGTGCTTAATAAATGATTGTTGACTGATTTTAGCTCTTTGTGACCCTGTCCTTGGATTTTTTTTTTTTGGCAAAGATACTGGAGAGGTTTGCCATTTCCTTTTCCAATGGATTAAGGCAAACCGGTTAAATGACTTGTCCAGGGTCACATAGCTAGTAAGTGTCTGAGGCTGGGTTTGAACTCAGTTCTTCCTGACTCCCGGGTCTAGCTCTCTATCCACAGAGCCCCCCAGCTGCTTTGTGAAATGTATAGTAAATATGAAATGGACACAGAGTGATTTGTCAGTGGGAGGGATGAAGAAGAGCTTAGTATAGGAGGTAGTTGGTGTGTGAGCTGAGTTTAAAAGGGAACTAGGGATTCCAAGAGGAGGAGATAGAGGGAGAGCATTCCAAATGCTTGAGAGAAGTCTACAAATCGAGGTGAAAGGTGGATTGTCACCTGTGAGGAGTGGCAAGAGAGCAGTTTGGCTGGAATGTCCAGTGTGTCTGGAACCAGCCTGGAAGGGCTTTAGAAACCAAGAGAAGTCTGGCTTTTATCCTAGAGGCAGGAGGGTGCCACTGGAGTTTCTTGCACGGGGGAAGGAGAGGCTTAGACCTGTTGGGGCTACAGCAGTGAGGCATTTAAGAGATCCTGAGGGCCTGCCCCTGGGGGCTCGTGGGGGAGGCAAAGGGGAAGCTGAAACCACAAGCTTTAGCCACAAATTGGATGTGGGAGATGGTGGGTGGTGAGGAGTGGAGGGTGACTCTGGGGTCTCACTCCTTGATGGCTGTAAAGAGGGAGATTGTCTCTCTTCTTTAGTAATTCTATGCTTAGTGCTTGGCACTGTGCCAGGCACATAGGATCAGCTTAATGTGTGGATTGGATTGGATTAGAAAGAGAAGTAGTGCTCTGAACACAGATAGAGAAGTTAGGGGTAGCGGGGAGTTTGGGGGAAATGAGTTCTGTTCTAGACATTCTTGTTAATTCATTTTTAGTTGTGTCTGACCCTTTGTGACCCCATTTGTGGGGTTTTTTGCAGAGATACTGGAGTGGTTTGCTGTTTCCTTCTTCAGTTCATTTTACAGATGAGGAAACTAAGGCAAACAATTAATAGGTGACTTGCCCAGGGTCACACAGCTAGTAAGTGTGTGAGACTAGATTTGGACCCAGGTCTTCCTGACTCCAGACCCATTGCTCCATCCACAGTGCCACCAAAGGCCAGTGGAACACCCAGATGGAGATGTTGGCCAGGTAGGCAGTTGGAGATGCAGGACCAGTCTTTAGGAGAGAGGTTAGGGCTGGATATATAGGGGTAGCTAAGTGGTGCAGTGGATAGAACACTGGGCCTGGAGTCAGGAAGACCTGAGTTCAAATCCGGCCTTAGGTACCCACTAGGTGTATGACCCTGGGCAAGTCACTTCACCCTCTTTGCCTCAGTTTCCTTATCTGTAAAATGAGCTGGAAAAGGCAATGACAAACCACTGCAGTATCTTGGCCAGGAAAACCCCAAATGTGGTCACGAAGAGTTGGATATGACTGAACAACAACAAATATAAATCTGGGAGTCACCTGCAAAGAGATGATTAAACCTATGGAGGCTGATTCTACAGGGGAGACTGAGGAAGCTCAGTGCTTCCACAGGGAGGTCAAGGTAGAGGACCATAGCCAGTGGGTCATATCACCAAAATCCAGGGAGGCAGGAGTGGTGACCAGTGTCCAATCACTGAAGGTCAGCTAGACCTAAGAACAGGCTGAAAAAATAGTCCTTGGTGACCTTGGGGAGAGCGGTTTCAGCAGCAGTGGGGACAGCAGCTAGATTTCTGGGGCTTGAGAAGTGAGTAGGAGGTGAGAAAATGGAGGTGAAAATGTGCCAGGAGCTTTGTTTTCCTCTAGAAGGGGAGAATTAGGGCGCTCGCTCGAGGGGATGTCAAAGCAGGTTTTTTTTTAGACTTGGCCATGATCTGGTTGTGTTCATGGCCATGGGGATAAAAAGAGGTTGGGAATTAGGTTAGAGAGAAGAGAAGATGGAAGGGGCAGGCTATGGGAGGGGCCAAGATAGCAGAGGGCAAAGAGAAGGGCCTTCTCATCCTCTGAACCTGGGGCAAAGGCATGGGGTAAGCTGACATGGAGGTGACTGGAAGCGTGGAATTGGGGAGGAGCAGGAGCTGGTGGTGGCAGCTTCAGTTTCTTAAAGGAAGCCTGAGCCGAGGGCCAATGCTGACGTGGCATGGAAATAGATGTTAACGTGGAGTGTACTTGAGTGAGGCTCCTGAGACCCTTTCAGGGACTCCTTCAGCTAAAAAACTCTTTTTTTAAAGAATGCTAAGATGTGTTCATGTCTGATATGGTAAGTACTGAGAAAGAAAACCCACATGAACCCAAGTTCTTTTTGGGGGGTAGGTGTATTCAGTCACTTTTAAGAGGGTAAAGGGGTCCTAAGGGCAAAGTTTGAGGCCCTCTGCAGCAGTTTGTAGCTCTCAAGCTGCAGAGGACCTCAAAGGCCACCACCTCCAACCTCCTCATTTTACAGATGAGGAAACTGAGGCCAGAGAGGAGAAAGTATTCGGCCCAGGTCACATGAGCAAGAACTTGCCAGAATAGATAGGGAAGGACCAAAGAATGGCCATGCAGCAGTGAGGGCCTAGTTGAGAATAAGGGATAAAGTCCATATCTTCTCTTCACATACACACACACAGCGTGAGGAGGTCTAGAGGAGGGCCCTATCAGGTGCCCAACCTGCCATGACAGAGGAGAAGGGGCCACTGCAGAAAAGCATCTTTGTTGTGCACCATCTTTCTTTCCCTGGTGTTCGGGCTCGGGGTTCTAAAGAAGAGCCCCAAGGCCAGAAGGCCAGAGATGGGTGCCTGCAGTATCTTGGAGGCTCCCACAGAGAAATCAATTCAAGAGGAAAAAGAAAGACTTAGGGGGAATCACTCCTCATAAAGAGAGGTGACCCCTGTGCTGATTGTGACAAGTCAAGGCAGCAGGCCCTCTGTGTGCTGAAAGCAGCCCCTGCCTTCTGGGACCTGCTGGGACCACGGGGCAATATTGGCAAACCCCGACCCCCTCACCTCAGTTTCCTATCTCTAACCTGAGGCGGTTAAACTGGATGGATAGCCTATGGGTTCTTCTGCACTCTGACATTCTGTGCTTTAGGGTCCCTGCCTCCCAGAGAGGTGGGAGTGGTACATGGCTGTGACTTACTGTCTCTCTCTCTCTCTCTCTCTCCCCCTTCCCCCCCATCTTTCTCTTTCTATGTGTGTCTCTCTTCTCTCTCCTTCCATCTCCCTCCCTTCCCCCTCTGCCTCTGTCTCTCTGTGTCCCCCCCACCCCATGTCTGTGTGTGTCTCTCTCCCCCCGTCTCCTTCTGTCTCTCTTCCTCTATCCTCCCCCTTTTCTGTCTCTCTGTCTCTGTCTCTGTGTGTTTCTCTCCTTCCCCTCTGTCTCCCTCCTCTCTCTCTCTCTCTCTCTCTCTCTCTCTCTCTCTCTCTCTCTCTCTCTCTCTCTCTCTCTCTCTCTCTCTCTCTCTCTGTCTCTTTCTCTCTGCCTACAGTGGGGTCATGGCTATCAAACGGCCAAAGCAGGGGATCGGCGTCCAGAATCTTCTAGAGGTGAGTGAGTTGTCTGCTGTCCAGGGTATAGATACAGGATGGTTTGAGGAAAAGGGAGTGAGTGCCAGCGGCTGGGGAGGGGGTGGGGGCAGAGATCAGGAGAGACTTCTCCATAGGAGGCAGCGGGTGAGTGGAGCCCCAAGGGTGCCACAAGGTGCCATGAGGGAGGAGGGCATTGCCAGCATGGGCAGCAGTCTACACAAAGGGGTTGAGGCTGGGGATGGAGCAGCCAGGGGTCCGCTTTGGCTGGAATGTAGGTGCAAGTGCCATCATTACTGTCACTTCCCCCCCTGCCCCTTGATTGAAGTCTCTGTTTATGTGGGGGATGGGACTCCATGCAGTTGCCCAGATGGAGGTGGGGGAATGGACAGAATGACCTCATGCTGTCTGGAAACAGGTCACTGAATAAGGTGGGGCGGGAATAGGGTGACTGGGGCTTGAACTTTTGCCGAGTCCAGGGGCCCCTGGATCCCCATAACACAGATTGTACCAAGGCATCTAAACTTGAGGCAGGGACTGTGAGTAGGTGTTTGGATCCTTGGAAAGCATGACCTTCCTCCCAATCCTGCCATGGTACGAAATTCCTCCAGACTCCTGGGGAACTCCTAGCCTGTGGGTACACTGGATCATAGGACTCAGAGCTGGAAGGGGCCTTAAAGATCATGGGGCCCAGCCTGTTCACTTTACAGTGGAGGAAACAGGCCCAGACTGGGGAAGGGACTCATTCAAAATCACAGAGCCAGCTAGTTAGGAGTGGGGCCAGGATTCCATCCCAGGGCTTTTGGAGATTCCAGATTTGGGGGCTCTGTGTGGCCTCATTGTGCACTGTCCTGCTGAGGGCAGGGGAAGGGGGTAAATGGGGTCCCTGCCTCACCTGCATCCCATCCACTCTCAGAAAGCTGCAGAGCGGCTGAAGTCCGTCACGCCTGTGAAGTTTAACATCTCCAGCCGAACGGACACTGGTGTCCACGCCCTCGGGAACTCTGCCCATCTAGACATTCAGCGCCTGACTGGCCGACCCCCTTTCTCACCTGACATCCTCACATTAGCCCTCAATAGACACCTTGAGCACCCTGACATTAGGTATGGAAACCTCTCCCCAGATCCTTCAGGCCCAGCCCCTCTCTATCACCCCATCCACAGAAGTAGGCTAGACCACCCTTAATTGGTTCACATACATTCCTCAGGGCACAGTCATTCCAGGTTTTGGAGGGAGCCTGAGCTTAGCCTCTCCCCCTGGTCCTCCATGATTAAATCCTCAGGTTTTGCCAGGCTCTCAGGACTTGGCTGCCCTCGATGTCAGCCCCAAGTATTTGGGGTCTCCCCAAGTGTCTCAGCTTCTTGCGGCTCTGTTGTAGAAAGGGTGTCTCATGTGAGCAAGGATCAGCACCAGGAATCTTGGACAGCCCCTTCCTAGAATCGCTGAGAGCAGGAGGTAGAGGTGGCCCACCTTTGGGAGGGACTGGAGTGGGAGGCCAGGATGTGTTTGGGGGCAGATGGACTGGTTGGCCTCTGGCTGGGTCGCGGTGCCAGTCTGTCTAGCGCCTCTGCAAGGCTCATGATTATTTCTGGCTCTGGGAGGGGCAGGAAGTAGCCTCTTCTGAGCCCAGGATTTGACCTTGGTGTGTGGCATCAGGGACCAGAACTAGCAGATCCTGGGCCACAGCTGGCCCCTATGGCCATGGATGGGCCTCAGGGGCCCTCTTTTCTTCTTTCTTGATATACCCTCTGACCATGACCTCATCAGCTTCTATGGTTTTCCTTTTCACCTCTGTGCCGATTCCCAGATCTACGAAGCCAATGGCAGTCAGCCACGGTCCTGTCCCCCATGGATGTCCTGTAGGCATCTCAGATGTGGCATGTCCAACACTGCACTCTCTCCCTATCCCGAAGCCTGTTCCTCTCCCAAACTTCCCTATCACTGATCCACGTCACCCTGGCTCACCAATATTGGTGTCCTTGTTGACTCCCCACTCTTCCTCCCTGTTGTCGGTTTTAGCTCTGTAACGTCTCTCGAATGTGCCCCCTTCTGTCCTCTGCCCCTGCCCCCGCCCCCACCCCCACACCCTGGTGCAGGCCCTCATCACCTACCATCTGGACTATTGCTGGGCTCAGTGCCTGCTCATTCCCATCCAGCCTCCAGTAGATCAGGAATCCCCCTCTACACAGCTGCCAGTGTGAGCTCCCTAAAGCATGGATCTAACCATGTCATTCACCTCCTCTATAAACTCCAGTAGCTCCCTATCATCTCCAGAATCAGATAGAAACTCCTGGTAAAGACCTCCCCAGCCTGGCTCCAGCCTGCCTTTCCAGTGACTCCATCTGTGATACCACTCATGTAGGGAACTTTCAGGTGAGGACATTCCCTCCACCAACGTAGGTCAGCACCTCCTCTGTGGCCCAGAGTCCTGTGGGGTTCTGCCTAGCGGAGAAGTGTCCACCCCACCCCCGGCCAGTGTGTGGCCCACAAGAGTAGCCCAAACTATGTTAAACTATCATTTGGAAATATTTAACAAAAGAAATAGAAACCCAATAAAATTGAAGATAACACATTTAAAAACTAAGCACATTGCCGTGGGGCTCCTCATGAATTAGTTAGCAGGCCCTGTTTCTGTTTGAGGTTGACACTGTTGGTCTAGAAGTACCAAAAGGTTAGTTGACTTGACCAGCTAGTGTGTGTGTCAGAAGTAGGACTTGAATCCAGGCCTTTCAGGCTGTGAGACCTGTTCTCTGCCCACTACACCCGGCAGCCTCGTTGCTTTTCGCTGCCTTTCCCACCCTTCCACAGGGCTCTCCATCTCCCTTCGTTGTGTTTCCTCCCTTGTCATAGAATCCCTGGTTTCATTTCTGACCCAGCCTTCCCTGACCCCCTGAACTGCTAAGGCCCATCCTTAATTACCTTGCGTTGATTTTGTATTTTTGTTCTGAATATACTTACATACATCTTTGTCTCTCCCATTAGAATGTAGGCTTCTTGGGGCAGGGACCCTTTCCTTCTTTACCTTTGTTTCCCCATTCCTTAGCATTGTGCCTGACACGTAGATTCTTGGTGATCAATTGATTGATTGGTATAGAAGTCCCCCAACCTCAGGGTCTTTTAAAACTGGTTCTGAGTAGAGGCCCACAGGCCATAACCTGTAGGACCCAGGTGCTCCCACTTCCCAACCACTGAGTCAGTCACCAGGGTGATCTTGGAAGTCGCTGGCCCATAGTGCTTTATTCAGCGCCTGCCTCTGCACTGGTTGTCCTAGCTTGGGGAGGTGGGTACGGGCACCAATGTATCCTCCTGTCTTCTGTGACTTCCTTCAGCTAGTCTTGGACACTGGAAGTTCTTCCTGCAGTCTAATCCCGGTACCTGCCTTTCCAGGGTGATTCGAGCTTTTCGGGCCCCCGATGACTTCCATGCTCGCTTTGAAGCCACATCAAGGACCTACCTGTACCGGGTGGCAACCGGCTGCTCCCTGGACACGTTCTCTGTGTTTGAACGGAACCTGTGCTGGGCACTGGGGACCGAGTAAGTGCCACAGCTGTGACTTATGCTGCCCCCTCCCCACCCTTAGCACATATTCTGGGGAAGGGGCTAGACTGAGGCCCCCGGGGCTAGGAGAGAATGTTTTCCATCCCTTCTTCCTTGCTGCCACTGAGAAGGCCAGTCCCTAGGCTGGTTGGGAGCTGGAGACCTTGGTAGGGAGAATGCCCTCATGGCTTCCTACCCTCCTCTGCCCTCAGTCATCTGGATGTGGCAGCCATGCAGGAGGCTGCCCAACATCTCCAAGGCACCCACAACTTCCAGGCCTTTAGGTCAGCAAGTGAGGATAACTGGCAAAACCCTGTCAAGACACTGCTCCGGGCCTCTGTGGTCCCTGCACCAGCCAGCCCCTTCACCCATCCCCAGGAGAAGAGGTAAGGAGGAAGTCTGGGCCAGGTCGCCCTCTCAGACTGGGAGACAGGAGTCTCCCTAGGAACAGGGGCTGGGCTGTGTCTTAATTCAGCTGCACAGCCTTTCTGTCTCTCAGACGTCAGGTCCCCAGAGCCAAGGAGGGCTCAAACGTCTCCCTGGAGGGGATTACATCTTCTGGACCAGATGGGTTCCCTGCCCTGTGGGGTCTGTAAGGCTGAGAGCTTCCTCTAACCCTCAGGGCAGTGTAGTGTGTGACTGGATGGTAAGGAAGGCTGTCACTACTCATGCAGCTGAGGGTTGGTGATCCCTGTCCCTCCTTCCTTTGTCCTGGGCAGGGGGCAGTGCTGCCCCTGGGGCCAGCCAGGTGTGGTGGTTCAGGGACCAAGCCCAGCCTGCCCAGAGGAGTGGGAGAGCTGGGGGCGGGGTACCAAGTGAGACAGCAGCATCCTGAAGAGCAGCCTTGGGGGAGGCCATGGCCAGCCAGCTGGATGAGTTCTGAGCCACATTGTTCTGCAACTCCATCCTCCCCTTAGGCTCTCTCTGGCCTCAGTACCTGCTTTAGGGGAGGGTATTAACAGCATCCCCACCAAAGGCCAGATCTGGGTATCACCTGGACACTTAGCAAAGTTCCAGGCCAGCCTGTACCTGGGAGCAGGAGGGGTACTCACGGAGGGGAAGCTCTCTGTCTGGGGACCCCTGTCCTGGGAGAGCTTTGTGTAGGGGGTGGGCCCTGGGCCCTGGACGCACCAATCCCAGGCCTTGGTCCTTGAGATTGACTCTCACCCGTCTTTCCTCCCTATGCCCTATCCCCACTGGGCATCAATGCTGAGCTAAGCCAGGCCTGTCATGGGCGGGGGGGAGTTGCTAAGGCCTGTGTTCCCAGCTGTGCCCCCCCCTCCACTGCCACCTCCCTACCGCCCCTGGGTACCCAGCTCCAACAAATTCCATTTCATGCTCTGTGACTTGGGGGTGGAAGCCGGGCTAAATTTAGCTCTAGAGCTGATTGACTGGAGAGCCTCACCCAGAGACAGAGGGGTGCAGTGACCCTGGGGACCCCGCCACCAGCAGATCCGAGGATCCCAGGGAATCCAGCTCCTGGCTAAGCGAAGGCCAGGGTGGAGGTCTCGCTGACCCTGGTGGGCAGGCAGGAGAGCCTAGGCTGAGGAGAAACTGTTCAGTTGTTCCCCTGGCCTGCTCCCCCTCCCCTCCTGCCTCCTTTCTCAATTGGCTACTTGTCTATTCACAGAAGGGATTTGGGGGTGGGGGGGGAGACTGGGGCTCCCAGGGGTTGCCTAGCAACCATGAAAGCCTCTCTGAGGCCCCATCCTCCAGCTGCATTGCAAATGGAGCCACTCATTGAGGATGCATCCCCATCACCTGTCTCTTCCCCCCCACCCCAAACACTGGGGTTGATGCCAGAGCCTGTAGGCAAATAATGTTGGCCTTTCTCTTTGCCCACCTTCTCTCCTCTGCGCTTCACGGTTCCACCCCCAAGGAGGGAAAAAAGATTGGAAGACAGATGGGGGCCTTGGCTCACCGGTGGTGCCCCTCAGGCCATCGAGATAGCTTCTGAAGTGACCCTTTGGATGGGAGAGGGGAAGGTTTGCCCCAGGGTCTGAGACTTAAGATGTCCCATTCGGGACTTTGCAGGGCCCCTGCTTGGTGCTGGACCTGGGGAAGAGGGTTCTCAGTTCTCTCCCCTTGCCCTCTCCTGGGTGTTTGGCAGGGAGCCAAATGGAGGAACCTGGGACTTGTGGGCCACCTTAACATCCTTCTGATCTCCTTCTGCCTAGCCCAGGCCCAACAGGTCTAGCCTCTGCCCAGAACAGGATTCCCTTGCTCCTGTGACCCTGCTTCTGGTCATGATTTGAAGCTCACACACCCCTCATTGGGCAGGCAGCATCAGACAAATGGTTGTGGGTCCCCTCCTGCTTTCCAATGCTTCTGTCTCTGACTCAGGGGAATCGTGGATTTAGAGCTGAAGGAGGCCTGGGGGGGAAAACTGAGGCAAGAGCAGTTATCCAAAGAGTGATAGTGGCCAGATTTGAACTCGGGTCCTCGTTTCACTACCTTCTGGTTTTGATCTCCTGACCCCTGAGTCTGTGCTGCCTTACCTGGACTCCTGGTCTTGTGCCCACTCGGCCGGCTCTGCCTTATCCCCACCCACAGCTAGATATAAGATCTGTGGAGAGGAAAACCAAACAAACAGAAGCCCTGGACTGATCCAGGAGACCCGAGTTCTAGGGCTGGGCCGGCCATCAGCTTCTGTGTAGTCCAGGGGTGGGGAGCCTGCGGCCTCGAGGCCACATGTGGCCTTCTAGGTCCTTGGGTGAGGCCTTTTGAGTCCAAGTCTTACAGAACAGATCCTTTTATGAAAGGGATTTGTTCTGGGAAGTTTGGGTTCAGTCAAAGGGCTGCCCCCGAGGACCTAGAGGGCCACATACGGCCCCGAAGCCAAGTCCTTTCCTTTCTTTGGGCCCCACTTCCCTTGCTGTAAATTGAGGAAGTCGGGGGCTAACTAAGTTGCCCCGTTCCCAGCTGAAATCTGGGGGCATGCTGGGGCCTCATCTGGTGCCATCAGCTTCTCTGGCAGGGTAGGGGTAGGCTCTGCCTACCTGCAGGTGCAGGCTAGGCAGCTGTAGAAAGAGCCTTTCTCCTAGGACCCAGGAAGAGGGGAGGCGGGTCTCTGTGCCAGATGTAGTGGGGGTGGTGGGAGGAAGGGGAGAAGAGGCCAGAAAAGAGATGCTCTGTCCTCTGGCCTCAGCCAGTGAGGGGCAGGTGCCCACTGGGGGTGCACAACTGGCCCTCAGCCATCTTCCTCTGGGCACAGACACTTTACCATAGGGCGGGGGCGGGGGGCTGGCGGGAGATAAGGGTGAAAACAGCCATGGCAGGCAGCGAGACCAGTGCCTGGCACTGCCCATCCCACTGTCCGACCTGGCATCCTGGAAACTGTCCTTTAAATTCTTAGCTGAGCCGAGGGGGCAGAGAGGGGCCCCTCCCCAACATCCCCTGCTGGTCACGCTTGCATTAAGCACCTACTGTATAGTAGGCATTATGCTAGCGCCCTGTTCATCTGTGCATAGGCCGTAGAAAGAACGCCCTAACTTAGAGACCTTTTCCTGACGATCCACCTTCCTGGTGGTGGTGGGGGTAATACTCTGTATCCTGGGACAAGTTACTGTTTCTCCTCCAATGAAGGAGCTTGCTGAATCCAAGGTTCCTCTGGTATCTCTGGCTCCTGGTCTTCATCTGTGCCAGGGCCCAGCTTGGAGCAGCTCCTGAGTCGGTGTGTTCTAGAACCGTGGTTTCTAGAGTGTTCCAGAGCTCCTGCAGCCCAGCATCCTGTTAGGCTCCCAGTCTAGGACAATGCCAGCTTGGGATTCAGTTGAGAATCACCAGCTCAGAGGTCACAAGGCAGCTAGCTGGGACAGTGGGTAGAGTGCCAGGCTGCCAGTCAGAAAGACCTGAGTTTGAATCCAGCCTCAGGGGCTTACTTACTTAGCTGTGTGACCCTGGGCAAGTCACCTCCCTGAGTTTCTGCCTCCTCATCTGCAAAATGGGGATAGTAATAGCACCTGCCTCCTAGGATCATTGTGGGAATCAAATGTAGAAGTCAAAATTAGAAGCATGCAGTGTTTTGAAAATCTTAAAGTGCTTCTAAATGCCAGCTGTTATTACTAGTTAGGTGACCCTATTATTAGTTATTACTAGTTAGGCAAGTCACAACCTCTCAGCTCAGTTTCCTCATCTGTAAAATAGTAACTAACATTTCTATATGTCAGGCACTGGGCACTCCACAGTCATTATCTCATTTGATTCTCACAACCACCCTGGGAGGTAGTTGCTATTATGATCCCCATTTTGCAGATAAGGAAACTGAGGTTAGATTTGAACTCAGCTTTTCCTGACTCCAGGCCCAGAAATTCACCCACTGGGCCACCTCCAAGGCCCTTCCCAGCCCTAAATCTAGGTGCCTACGATCTATCCCAACCTCCCCCATTTTGAAGGTGGAAAAACTGATGCCTAGGGAATTGCCCAGGATTTGACCGAGATCACACATCTGGGATTTGAATCCAGTGCTGTCTTCATTTCCACTGTTGTGTGAAGTGGCCAGGGCTCCTCCAGGGCTGGCTGCTAGGATGGGCCAAGCCGTCCACACACGGCAGCTTGGCATTCCTCCATTCCAGGGTCCCTGGTAGGAAGGCCAGGAGCCAATGCACACAACCTTCTCTCCTCCCTCCCACTGCATCCCCCTCACCCCTATCCCCCAGCAGATGCACAAGGAGGGATTTAGAGCTGATTGGGAAGAGTTCAGAATTCATGTGGTCCAAGCCTCTCATTTTATGGATGAAAAAAACAAAAAGACCAAAAAAGGGTCTGTACAGAGATTGACTGGGTGCAAGGAGGCATGGGCTCAGGCTAGCCTACCGGGACAGATCTGGGAGCTCAGCTTCCAGGCGTGGGCCTGGCCTGGGCTGAACCCACTGTCAGGCACCTGTTTTTTACCTTTGGTCAATGGGCAAAAGGTACCTTTTGGGGACAGAGGGCAGGTGAGGGGTCTGTGGGAATGGGGTACACCAGGGCCCTGGAAGGCCCCCAAGTCAGCCCATTTGTATTTGCAGGAAGGTGCAGTTTTGGGACATAGAGTTTGAGAGCAAGTCTTTCCTGTATAAACAGGTATGTGGCCCATTTTACACGCAGGGAGATAGAGGTGGAGGAGGGGAGCTATTGCTAATCCCCCAACCCCTTTTGTGCTGGGGAACACAGAAAGGATTGCCAAGGCTCATAGTGACCCCTAGTGGTGACGAGGGAGCAGGCTGTGCCTAGGGCCATGCTGTTCCCTGGGCTTATCCATATAGTCTCACCCATTGCCCAGCCTCTAGACAAGACTGGGCATTCGTTCGCTGAGATGGGGATAGGTAGTTGTGTCACCTGACTATCCCCCCAGCATTGTGAGGCTGCCATTCTGGGGGTCAGATAGGAGTGGGAAGGTGGGAGGGGTATTGGTATCGATACCCACAGGGCCATATTGCAGGTGCGGAGGATGACCGCATGCCTGGTGGCAGTGGGGTTGGGGACCTTGACCCCTTCCCAGGTGAAGGAAAAGCTGGAGAGTCAGGACCCGCGGAGTGGCCCTGGATTACTGGTGGCCCCTGCCCAGGGCCTGTTCCTGAAATCTGTGCACTATGAAGGCCTTGGTGAGCATTCCCCACCCACCCCCCCCAAAGCCCAAGGCTGATCGCTTCTGTCCCGCTTTCCTGCCTGTGTGCCTCTGCCTCCCCTGCTGCCCAACAAGAGGCCCACGTGGATGGTCCTGAGCTCAGATCCCACCCCAACCCCCACCCCCCGGCTTTCTTGGACCCCTTGGTGAAGCTGGGAGCTCAGCAGACAACAGATGCTTTCAGTTCAGGCGGGGAGGTGGGGGGAGGCAGGATATGAGCAGACATTCAAAGGCCTCCAGGTGCCTGGGGCCAGCGGGAGCCCATTTTCTCCCCTCATATCCGGGGCTCCGCCTTCTCTTCACAGACTGGGGCCCTGGCAAGGACTGGTACAATCGCCCATCTGTCTCAAGAGGCTGCAGTCCAGGAGATGTGCCAGAGGGGCCTGTGCTCTGACTGGACCGGGGATTGCCCCAAGATATGGTTTGGGCAAATAAAGGGGAGACATTTGGACTGTCTTGGGTGTGTCCCTGTGGCCTCTGCACCCCAGCCTCATCCTTAGCCCCCCTACCCATGGCAGGCCTCCCACCCACCAAGAACTGAACTGTTGTGGCCCCCAGGCCTGTGGGGAGCCTCATTTCTGTAGAGGCAGCCCCAGGCTCTTCGGATGTTTCCTGTGGGTTTGGGGCTGAGAGCCTCTTAGGGCCCTCGAGGGGTGGGGAGGGGAGGGGGAGGTGTCACTTGTCGCTTTTCTGAGGTTGAAAAGTTTCCTGTGGCTCAGAGAACTCTTCAGCAGAGCCCAGCAGTGGATGCTCAGCACAGCTCCTGTGAGTAAACCTCAGGGAAGGAAGGGGGTCTGTTGGGCTGGGCTGGGGGACGCTCAGGCTCAGGAGTCGGGGGGTCTCCCCACTGAGAAGCTGGCAGAAACCCATTCCTCCTGGGCCTCCCTGCCCGGGGGGTCTGCTGGCCAAACCCCGAGGTGGGCCTTGCCCTCCCTGAGGTCAGGGGGCCTCAGGCCCAGTTCAGAACCCAGGAAACAAGGCTTCCTCTGGGATGAAGGACATGCCACCCATGGCTCTCCCTGCCTTCCCACGGGGAGGAGTTGACGTGAGGTGTTTCGGGAGGGAGAGGGGTCAGTGAAGAGGGGATCGGGCCTTCCAGCCTGACTGGTAGTGAGTACTTATGATTCCTTCTCTCACAAGTGACTGGCAAGGAGCCTCCACTGGTCCTCCTTCTGCCCTCAGTCTGGGCTGGGACCCCCTTCCCTTTGGCCCCACAGCTGTGTCTGGTGCAGGGGTGGGGTGGCAGGCTGATTCCACGCTGACCAAAAGGTGGAGAAAACCCTGGTCATTTTCAACAGGTTCTTGGAGCTGTGGCCTGGGCTCCTGCCTGTCCATGTTGTTTAGCCCCGCCCACCCCTGGCCATGATGCCAATGGCTCTGAATGACACAGGAAGTCACTTGGTTGTCCAGTTTTGGGACCATCACCAGCCGCTGGCCGTGGCTTACAGCGTGGTCTCTGCCGTGGGCCTGGCCGAGAATGTTGTGGCTGGTAGCCACCTCCTGTTGCGGCTGAAGCGCTCTGGCCCCACGTCTGTGCTCCTGCTGAGCATGACAGTGGCTGCCACAGCCTTCGTGTGTGCCTTGCCCCTGCGAATCCACTACCATCTGCGTGGGGGTGACTGGCGTTCTGGCGAGCTGGCCTGCCGGCTGAGTGCCGCCCTCCACTGGGCCTTCATGTACCTGAGCACCGCTTCTTTCCTCTGCCTCAGCCTGGACAGCTACATGGCGGTGGCCCACCCCTTCACACGCCTCCGGCTTCACAAGGCCCACTGGGCTGTGGGGAACGTACTGCTCTGGGTGCTTGCTGGGGGTGTGGCCAGCCCCCTGGCCCTGGGCGGCTCCCTAACCCAGACCAACCCTGATAATCGGACCTCCTGCTTTGAGAATTTTGTGGAAGATGTGGGGTCTGGGTCGTACAGCACCTACGCACTGGTGGTGGGCTTCCTGGTGCCCTGCACCATCGTCCTGGGTGGCTACCCCCTGCTGGCCTGGCGCGTGGCCCGTGGCCACAGGGTGTGGCGCTGCCGCAGGGCCCTCAGGACCCTCGGCTTCAGCATGCTCGTATGTGCCCTCTGCTTCCTGCCCTACTCCCTCACCCACCTGCTGCGACGCCTCACCAGCCCCAGCCCCTTCCTTAGCCACCTGCGTCGGGTAACACTGCTGCTGGTCAGCCTGGGTTCCTGCCTCAGCCCCGTCATCTGCCTGCCCTGGGTGTCCCGGGCTGGCTGCCGGTTCTGGGCTCGCCTCTGCTCCCGCAGGCCCAAGAAGATCTTTACCATCTACAATGGCAAGCTGGTGGAATCCCCCTGCCCCCCACTGAGATACAGCCAGGCACTAGGGTGGGGTAGTCAGTTTGAGAGCTATGGAGAGAGCCAGGCTGGAGAAGTGGGCCTTGGGGCAAGCAAGGACAAGTGCCCCAAAGAGGCTACCCTGGCCATTGGTCACCTACACTGAGCCAAGCATGGGGACACCGGTATGAAGAACGTAACCATTCCTCCTCACAAGGAGCCGGCCAGCTGACCGTGGAGGGAGGGGACCTGGACCTGCAGCCCTGCTTGGGAGCCTCGGGATGGCAAAGCCGCCCCCTGCACCAGCCAGAGGTCAGGAGGGAAGTCCACGTTCTCTTTCTAGATCGCCCACCAGCCTCTTCTGCCTTGTAAGCAGGGCCCTGCTGCCCTGAGCCAATCAGAGAGAGGGAGGCAGGGCAGCCCGGGCCTCACCCCCACCCATCTGCCCGTCACTGAAGGGCTGGCACTTCTACACTTGCCACTTTGGCCCCGAGAAGCAGGTTCATTTGGTGGGGAGAGACAAATGACCATGGGACCCAATTCCCGAGTTAAGGGGTCACTGCTACAGATGAATAAAAGAAGGGGAAGAAGGGATGTCCAAGCTTTGTCTGTTTTAATTCTCCTTAAAGGCAGGCTCCAATGGCTGAGCCCTGTTCTAGGCACTTGGAGGGGAGGGGCGTTGGAACTGGTCAACAAAACCAAGTCTGTGCCCTCACAGAGCCAACAAGCTAGCTGAGGAGACTGAGTCGGCCTCAAATCCCCTCCAGGCAAAGGGAAGTCAGCGTGGCCTACAAAATCCCATGTAAGGATTGGGGCACCCAGTGCTGAAGTGGGTGACTTTGTGTGGGCAGGGGCTAAGGCTAAGAGCCTTAAAGCCTCCTGCTCCAGCCACAGACCCAAAGGGCACACAAGCCCCTTCCTGGAATGGCCAGATCAAGACCCCTGGTCCCTCCCTCCAAAGCACGTCCAAAGTGTCCTGGAAAGGAGGAAACAGGCTGAGAGCAGCTCCTGGCTGCAGCCCCTCAGCTGGGTGCCTGCGGGAGCCCTTTCTTTAGCAGTGACGTGAGGTAGCTGCCCAGCTCTTCATCCTACACACCAAGATCGAGGAGGAGGGTCAGTGCTTCCCCAGCGAAGCCCATGGACTAGCTGCTGGGGGCACTACCAGGATGTGGGAGCAGGAATACAGGGTTTGGAAGGAAGGGTGCCATGCAGTGTTGAGAGCCCTGGGGTCAGAGACCCAGGCTCTCATTCTCTGCACTGGCTGCTCTGTGGCCAGGAGCAGGACCCATTTCCTCATCTGGGAAGTGGGATGGCAACTGCCCTCCCAATCTCCAGGAGGATGGACACTGGGTAAAGAGAAGGCCCTTCACCCAGGACAGAAATGGAAAAGGAGGTACCCTGATGTTCCTAAGGGATCACACATCACTGCTGACTGAATGTGATATGGGAGGGGGAGCAGGGCCTCTCACCTGGTAAGTCCAGGAGACCAGCAGCACCTTGGTGCCTGGATCCTCTGAGTGGGCAGTGGCCTGGATGAGGATGGACTCCACCATGACTGAACCATCGGGTAGGTGCTGGACCGAATGAGCTTTCAGAACACTAAGAGGGGTGAGAGTGGGCAGGCTCCAGGAAGCAGCTGCTGGACCTCCCTTCCCCCCCAGCAGCCCTTGGCCCTGGACGCCAGTCTCAGTGTCTCCTCAAAGCCACAGACCAGGTGAGTCCCAGCCCCGAAGGCCCTGTTACACATATCAGCTGGGCGGCCCCCTACCTCTTCAGATGGCTATAGACACGCAGTACGGTCTCCTGCTCCTTGCGTGTGTCATGGATGTGTACCCGGCACGTGAAGCGGAGCTGGTGTTCAGCCAGGCCCAGCTCCTTGAGGGCCTGCTCAGAGGACACCAGCCGGAAATTCTGGCAGGATGGGGAAAAGGAGGGAGTGTCATGATCCCTCTGGGCCCCGAACACCTTGCCCAATCCCCCTCCCTTCAGCAGGCCACCCGCCCCTCGTGCAGGGGTGGGCACTGTCCAAGACCAAGGGCACACCCAACCCAAGAAGCTCCCTCAGTTTCCCCGTATGTCCATGATGCTGAGCACCCAGCTGACAGCCCAGGCCAGCGACAAGGCCACTCACATTGTCCTTCATGATCAGAGTGCCATGCATGAGCTTGGGCCTCTTGGCATCAGGGAGCAGTCCTGGGGCAGGAGAGGTGGAGAGCCCATCACCAACGACACCTCCCTCGCGCCCCTCCCCCTTGCTGCTCCCCAGGCTCAGCCAGCACCACCCCCGTGCCCCCGCCCGCCCTCAGGACAGTACCCAGGGCCATCTCCCTCTTGAGCAGGCCCAGCGAGATGCCCACGGGGATGTTGGGGTGGGTGAGCAGGGTGACTGTCTCTCCGTTGGCTGGCATGTAGCAGTTCACATCTGACAAAGGCATAGCATCACAGGATTAAAACCAAGCCGAGTGGCTGCAGCCTGCCGCAGGTCACCCAGACTCCTGTAGCTGCTCAGGTGGCCCAGGACCCCACCCCCCCCACCCCACTCATCCTGCCAACACTGAACAGGCAAAGCTCTACACCAGCTCTTACTCTTCAGAAGACCACAGGCCACTTGGACCAACTTGGACCCATTCACCTGGACACCTCAAACCCGGCAGGCCCTTCTCTGCTGCAGGGGGGTCCTTCTCAAAGCCTCTTGGGCTTCCTGCACCAAGGCCCACGGTGGGACACGTCAATAACCAAGCTGATCAGAAACCACGGCAGGGGGCTCCTGCAGGGCCAGGTGTGCAGAGCCAAATCAAGGCATCCCCCTGTTCTTGGGAAGCCCCTCCCCATAGGCTAATGAATCCTGCCTCGGCCGCCAGGAGGGAGAGAGGGTTTGGAGACCAAGCTCCGCCTGCAGCAGGGCTGCACCTCCACCCTCATCCCGCCCAAGGCCAGCCCCACACACGGAATTCCTGTTCAATCTTCTGCTTCAGGAACTCCATCTTCTTGGCTTCCCCATGGACAAGCAGCACGTTGTCCGGCTCGGCCTGGCGGACCAGCTGCATGATGCCCTTGGCATCGGCGTGGGCACTGAAGGACATGTATTCCACCTGCATCTTCACCTCTAGCTGAGGACGGACAAAAGAGAGACCCACACAGAGATGAAGGACAGGCAGGCAGAATTCATCCCCAATCCCGGCTGCCACTTGCTGGCTAAACCTCAGCTGCCCTAGAAGATAAGAGCACAGACTTGGGAAGCAGGAAGACCTGGGTTCAAATCCTGCCTCTGATACCTATGTGACCCTCGGCAAGTCATTTCACTGCAGCCTGTTTCCTCATCTATAAACAGGGATAACAGCAGCACCTGTCACAGAACTGCTGAGGATGAAACAACATGACAGATGTGAGGAGCTGTGCACACCTCAGGGGCTGGCTACGGCAGCCCCGGCTCTCCTCCAGCCCGCCCCAGGCACTGCCCCAGCTCCAGGACTGACTCCAGGCTGGCAGGACCGTGTGCACAGCCACAGGGCACAAGCCACCTTCAGTCTGTCACAGGGACCTCAAGGGCTGAGAGAGGGATCTCGGGGAGCCTGTGGAGTGGAAGCGAGCCCCCTTTCCAAACGGCTCGCGCTGGACACATGGGGGTGTGGCAGGGTTAGCGTCCAGCCCCATCTCTGCTTCGAGGGAGAGGAGCTTCCCAGAGCAGCCCCTGAGGACCCTCCTGCAATTCCAGGCCTCTCCCTGGCTCAGACCCCAAGCCTGCCCCTTCCTGGTGACTCTGGACAGATACACTGACCCTTTGAGCTCCCTTTCTTTTTCTGGGATCCTAGCTCTAGGCCATGCCTGCTCCACACCAACCCCTTCTTTTGACAGATGAATGAATTGAAGGCGACTGACGTAAGCAACTTGCCCTGCCCAAGGTCACACAAATCCACCAGTGGAAAGATTTCAAGCCAAGCTGTCCGGTGAGAGAGCTGGACATTCGTTGTGAGGAAGGCCAAGGAGGCCTAGTGACCAGGTCACTGAGGTGAGCTCTGAACTCAGACCCAGTGATTGGCTCCCGGACTCCACCTGAGGCCCCATCCAGCAGCCTCCCACCCTAGAACTGCTGGGCCCGCCTCACAGAGCGGTGAGGAGAATGCAGTGAGATAGATAGGTAGGGTGCTCTGAAAACCTTGAGACACCCTTCAAAGACTCACGGGCTCAGAGCTGGATGGTGCCTAAGAGGCCACATTTTACAGATGAGGAAACTGAGACCCCAAAGGCAGAGGCTGTAAGCGGTTGAGATAGGATGTGACTCCAAATTGTCAAGAGCTGTTATCTGCACTCTGTAAAAGGAAGGTGCCTGAGGTCCTGTTTCCGCTCTAAATCCATATAGGTAGAAAGCGAGGCCAGCTGGTGGGGTGCCAGGGCTCTTCCTGAACACTCCCACCCCCAACAAGTGCTCCAGTGACTTACGATCTGCCTTCCCTCCATCTCCAGTTTCCGCTGCCCGCTCAGGATCTTGTGGCCCACAGTCCCCTGAACACAGTAGCCCGGCATGATGACCTAGGAGCCATAAACCAGATGGTGAGGCTCTCCTCGGGCCCAAGCGGCACGAGTTCACATAACTAAGACTCTGAATGCAACATTACTGGGCGGGCCAAGCTGCCCCACATGTAGGACCTCTGCATCCCCTGCTGTTGGGAAGCCTCCCCGAGGAAGAACGCACCGTGAGGGGCAGGCAGGAAATGCAGCTAAGGAGCCATGAGCACTGAGCTCCCCCGCAGGACCGTGTGAGCAGCTGGCAGGGGTCTGCTCAGGCTTCCTGTCCTGGGCAGGGGGGCCCTAAGGGACGTGGGTAGTGATGGTCTACCCTGGACACCTCCTCCCTGGAAGAGAGCTTAGTGGAGGGGCACGAGGGACCAGAAGGCACCAGACCCGGGTCCAAGGCAAGATAGTATCAGGGAGAAAGGAGACCTCCTCAGCCATGCCCCCTCTGCCCCCAGCCCACCCACCCAAAGAGGAACAGCTGGGCCCCAAGCCCTCTCCTCCACACCTTCCCCATCTGAGCCCACAGACCATGTAAAATGCTAAAGACTTCTTCTCCTTCCTGCATGGGGAGGACAGCTGTCCCTGCCCCACCCTTTAATTCTTCCTTAAATAACCAGGAAGATTCCTGGCAGTGCAGGGTCCATGAGCCAGCCCGGGTCACCAGGTGACAGCCACCCCCTTACCATGTTCTTCTCGTTCCCGGCCCATTTTCTGAAGATCTGCAGGGACTGCCCGGCATGCAGCATGCCTGGGGTTGCGAAGACAACCTGGGTAGAGAAAGGAGAAGTTGCGGTCCCAGGCACCCCAGGGACCTGCCCTCATACCACTGCTGGCTGTACAGAGGGCGTGGAAGGGACAAGAGGGCCTGACCCAGCCAGGAGCCAAGGTCGGATGCCCAAGCAGACCCGGCCCTAACCTCGTGGATACTCACACAAGAGCACACGAGGCTGCAGCCAGAGTCCCTCAGAGGCCAGACCCTCCAAACATACTCCCTGGCTCCCTACCACGATCCCCTGATCACGGCAGCCTCACCGCACCCGACAGAGCAAACAGCTGGCCTCAGAACTGTGAAGTC